TGTGTGTGTGTGTGTGTGTGAAAAGTGTATATAAATATAAATAAATAAATATATATATGTGACGTCGCCCCCCCCCCTGGTCGCAGCGTCGACTCTGTCGTTCGATCTCGTTCGCGGCACTAGTTGTGACGTCACGTGCTCTCCAGGCTCTGATATCCTGGTCACGGACAGCACCAGTTGTGACGTCGCTTGGTCCAGGGTTGATCCTGGTCGCGGCGCCGATTGTGACGTCTTTGCCGCGGCGTCAGCTGTTCGCTCCTCGCTGCTCCAAGTGTGACGTTCTAACCCTTTGGTTAGATGAATACCAGCCTCGCCGTTCCCAACTCGCTTCCAACGCCTGGTTACTAGGGTAACTGCACTGATCTCCGGTCTGCCTACACACGTTGTGAATAGATCTTAGACAGACGGGATCAAACAGGGATTGGGGCCGTATGCCAGCTGGGTTCAGCGGGGGTGATAACACAAGAAAAAGAAAAACTCACAAGGTCAAAAATTATTGAAAAGAAAAGGTAACAACCTTTTATATTCAAATGTTCATTACACAAAATTGTTCCTACCTCCCGACCCGTTTTATGGACTGTGGCACCAAGCTTCTACCATACAACTTAGAGACTTCGAGTTGCTTGTTCTCTAGAAATTTGCATTTCGGGGTGTGGTTTGGTTTCAACACTGGGCGCTGATCTCTGCCTGTCGTTCACGGCTGATCTCCCTCGACGTCAGTGCGCGAATTAACTTCTCTTCTGCTTCGGGTGGACGAATCTATTCACTTCGACTTGAGTTGGGCGAATTTCTTTTCTTAGGCTTGGTTTGATTCCAACTTCTCTAGGCGCAACTGCAAGTTAACTTCTTCTTCGTCTGAGGCGCAAACCCAACTCCTGCAACTCTTCTGCCGTCCGCTCTGCAACTCCGCTCTGCAACTCCGCTCCAACTTCTCTGCGGCTTTCGAGCAATTTTCTTCTCTTCGACTTGGGCTGGAAGAATTTCTTCACTCCGGATTCTCTTGCCCGCAAGGGGGCGAATGAACCGGGCCCGCCGCCCGCGTTCAAGCTCCCTCGCTGTCCGCCCTGCAACTCAAACTTCTTTCTTCGGCTTCAGCGCTGCAACTTCTCTGCCTGTCCGGGCCAAACGGACCGGCCTTTCTGCCCACAAGGGGCGAATGAACAGGGCCCGCTGTCCGCTCTGCAACTTCTCTTGCCGTCCGCCCCGCAACTCATTTCTGTCGATTGGGGTCCTGCTTTTATTGACGCCGTAACAAACTGGGGTGGGTCTGTCGGCGCCAGGGTTTTCTTGATAATTCCAAAGTCGTATTATTTCTGATTTCCCATTATCGCTCTTACTTTCACTCCTACTTCCTTACAGTGCTTCTTGGGGGGAGGCGCATATCCGCTTCCCCTGGTCTCTCGTATGTCAGGTGACCGCTCTCGACCAATGGGGTCCTGGTCGAGCATCTTTCCTCCTCCCTCGCACATCACGTGACCGCTCTCGGTCAACGAGACTCTAGTCGGGTGTTTCTCCTCCTCCCTCATGCATCATGTGACTGCCCTCGGCCAATGAGATTCTGGCTGGTATCTTCCTCCTTCCTTCGTGACGTCTCCAATCGGGCGTGGACAATCCGTGGCTTTGTTCTGGGGAAGAAACTCCTTGCTAAAAAATCAAAATTTAAATTGTCCTTTTTCGTACGAAAATGACAATCCCGGTTTATTGTCAAAACAGCCTGCCGCTAATTAGATGTGACTTAAAGAAAGAATTTTTCCGCCCTGTCGGCGTCTTCTGCGAGCTGAAACAATTGCTTCACCTCTTTCTTTCGCTCGGTGCCTGTTAACAAAATCTTAATTATCTTAAATTGAAAATATTCTCCACTCATCATCGTGGGTGATTCTTATCTTCAACCCTAGAAATGGTCAGGGTTCGTGCATCAATGTTTTGTTTTCGTATACATTTCCCCAGCGGTCAATGACACCCCACTCCGTTCGTTACCTATTAATATATTTTTTCCATTGTCCCTAAAATCTTATTTCTTCAACCAAATTGATAATAAACTCCCATACTCCGCGGACACGAAAGTAGGTCAGGTGCTTGACTGACATCTGTTATGTATCAATCGTGCCTGTGCCCATTCGTTTCGCGAACCCGTCTTGTTATCATGTTCCTGTCTTTTCCCTTTCTTTCTTTTTATTATTTCTAAACTCTATTCCTTCAAATAACAATTTCTATTTTTCGTGAATTTCGGTCAGGTACTTTGGCCTAGATATCTTTTAACACTTGTTTTGTTTAAGCTTTGTGTGCTTATGACCGG